AGGTAGGTTTTCAAGCTAGGAATATACTTTCTTTAATAGGTGCTATTCAAATTTTATATTTCCTCCAGAGTTAGTTTCATTAATTTGACTTCCAAGGTACTTCTTAGAAGTTGTCAAATTTATTTCAAAAAAGATTTTTGTAATATCCTTTCTGTATCCTTTTAAATTCTGTAAAATCTGTGGTAATGCCTCCTAGATCTTGATATTATAATTTTTAAAATGTATGATTGATATTGTGTAATAGGAAGTAAAGGTCTAAATCAGCAGGGGAAGTGGGAGGGGGTAGGGGAAAGGAAAGAAGAGAAAAGAAAAAATATGAGAAAAGAAAAACAATGGAAACAAAGTCTTTGCAAACAGGGAAGGGTGGAGGGGGTGAAGGGAGGGCAGGGGAAGGGGAAAAAAATAAGAACCAAGATATTCATGTAATGGTACAAGATCCCAGTGATGAATGTAACTATTTTATACCTAAAATGTATCAATAAACTTAATGAGGAAAAAAAAAGATAATCCAGCAAAACTGAACAAATTGTATTAAGCTTGTAATCATATACATAAGCTTATAGTCTTGATTATATAAGTAGGGCACAGATATATTATACACTTATACTCCCATTAAAAAACACACACCTCTTATCCAGAAACCTTCTTATTATGGTAATTGACAAATATTTTGATGGCCAATGTAAGTGTGTATAGGTGTAATATCACTTAACTTCTTTGAAAGAGTAAGGGTTGCGTGTGTAGCTCGGTGCTTAGCAGATCATATGCTTAGTATGCATGAGGCCCTGAGTTTGAGCCCCAGCACCACACACACACACACAGAGAAGAGTAAATTAAATAAATATATCCAATGACAGAACTAAAAAGAACAAAGTAAACAAATGTAAGGACTTAGGGAATTGTGTAAACTAATTCTACTGTTTAAAAAAACAATGACCCTGAGGGTGCTGCTTCATGGTAGGATACTTGGCTGGCATGCATAGCCTCTGGGTTTGACTTCCAATACCAATATATTTACGACCTACAACTTTTTCATTTTTCTAAACAGCTGGTAAAAGATTCAAACATCATACACACAGAGCTCTTTTTGAGGAATCAATTACTGCAAAAATCTTATTTATATCCCCTATTGGAGTATAATTACACTACTATTAAAAATACCTAATTGTAAATTAATTTATTTCATCTCAAAAATGTGTTATGTTAGCAATACCTTATTACACAGATACAAGCTTATTGTGAATTTAATTATTCAAATTTAACTTTCATATTCCATTGTGGGAATTATATATGCTCTAATATTTTTATTCCTCATCTATAATAAAATTACAATTAAAATATTCTTTACTAAAATTTGAATAGAACTTTTTGATCAGGAAGTATGGCTTAATGTTACATGAAAAGATTTTTAAAAACTGTAACTACTTTAATGTAACTATTTTCTATTTTGGCTTAGGCATGGAAGATGGGAGTCATTGTACCTCACAAAGCAGCAAGTCAATGATGTGGAACACCATGCAGAGTGGGAACTTGGCAGTAAAGAGAGTGAGGAACCACTGGGATGCATACATATGAGCTTCCAGGTTCAGATCACAAAAATGGCTGTGCAGATCTGGTAGCTGTTCCTAAAAGAGAAATCGAAAAACTTAGGGGAAGGAACACTGAAAAAGCTTTCTTTTCTGCCACAACTATAATTTATAACAAGCGTTCTGTAGTCACTTCAACTATATTCCAGGATTGGCTGCAGTTTATGTAACTACACAGAAGTGATGACAAGGGATGGGAATTGAGCATATTACAGATATATGAGGAAAATAAAGACAGACTTGTTATAAACAAATAGCAAAGCTTATCTTTTCATTTCTTTTTTTTTTACCAAAGCTTATCTTGCTCACTTGACTGTTTTTGTTTCTGGGGAAATGCTTGGTCTGACAGAACACCTGTAGTCCAATAAATATCATGACTCCAGAGTCACCCATGGCATCTCCAATTAGAGTTCACCTCCTACCGAGCTAGAAAAGAAATGTACCTCTTTGGACACCAGCTAATACCACATCATCTAGTGTCAATGATACCACCTCAGTGTTTTCAAGCACTTACTTGAAAGTTCCAAAGTATAAGTAAATTGAAAAACCTATATTCAACATACTAAAAATGGCAAAGTAAAATTGTCTAAGGGTATAATATATAAAAGTGACTATATATCCTAAAAATGCATTTATGCTAGCTTTGCTTTCTTCTCTAGTAAAACAAGCAAATGCTTTTTAAAAGCATGAAAGGCAAACTAAAAACTATTAGCATAACTAATATTCCCATAACTGAAAGAGAAAGGCAGATAGGTAAAAGCACATGTTCATTTTGTTTTCATAAAAAGATCACAAAAGCAAAGTATTTTATGTACATGATGCTCCTTTGTAAAACGCCAAAATGTTCCCATCAGGTACTTAAATGAGGTATCCAAATGGTCATCAAGCTAAGAGACAAAAATTGCTGATAGAAAAATCTGGTTGAGTTTCATCACAGTGCTATAAACTTTTTCATTTACTAGATATACTTATTTGACTTTCAAAATCCTCAGGAATACTGGTGTTTGAAAAAAAAAAAAACTTTTGTTAAAGAAAGATAAAAAGCAGGCTGGGGATGTAGCTCAGTTGCGCTGTGCCTGTCTGGCAAGCGCAAGGTCCTGAGTTCGATTCCTAGTACTGGAAAAAAAAGAAAAGAAAAGAAAGATAAAAAGTGAGCAACTGCAAATACTTGGTAGAATTTAATCATTTAAAAACTGTTCACTGCTTTTAATGTTCATAATTATCAGATTCTTCTCCATCCCATGCCCATGTGTCCCTATGCTTATGGCTCATTTTATACCCTTCTCTCCATTTTATCTCCATCTTTAAGATCTTCTGCTCTTCTACATTCCCTTCTCCCAGTAAAGTTGCTCTTTAATCTCACAATAAACTCTCAATCTTTTACTCCCCTGTCCTTCCATCTGTCTCCTATTGGCTTCACCTCCTTCTTTAAATATATATGGATTTCCTGACAGGTCCCATCAATGCAATTCTGGTAGTAGTAGTTTCACTCCTACATCCCACTAACCCTCTTCTCCAAATATTTTACCTTTCTCCAGTAAAAAAAAAAATCTATTCAAATACTTCTTTTACATTTCCCTTGGGTTCCCAACACATCTTTTAGAGAAACTCATATAAATATGCTGAATAGACCCTTTATAAATTTAAGATTTCCAATCCCACATGGAACTTCAAAGTTATCCAGTAATTCCTTTTGTCAGCTCTGTCAATAATTTTTCCCTTTCTCACAATTTTGTGAGATAATACTTTGTATAGATAAAAGAATATGTTTCTCACCCATATATATATTATAAAGCACATTAACAACATTGATTGAAGTTAGGCACTTATGTGGAAAAAAATTAAAATATGTCCCTACATTAAGGTAATTCAGGTGTTTTTTTATTCTTTTACCAACATCTTTCTGTCTTTTCCATGTGTGAATTCAAGTACAATAGTGGTGCTAATTAGCATGGAAAAAGAGATTAGATATTTCAATTTTTACTTGGTAAACACCTTTACTTCTCTATAATACTAATGTGGTGATCTCTTCATTGACTTAATTCACCATATGGCCACTTCAAAGCATATTAATGTTGAATATATAAAATGTGAAATAGTCTAAGAGCTAAAGACATGTTATTGTGTTAAAAACAATATAGATATTGGTCAGAAACCAAATCTATTTATATTTCCAGTAGTATTCCATTAAACTTTTATAACTCATTATTATTTACCAACTCTATTAGGCTTTTTTGATAACTCAACAAATCCCTAGGTGATAAAAGGTACTAATTTTTATTTACCTGCATTAGTCTCTCCAGCTGATAGAATTTGCAATGAAGATCTTCAAAGTTATTTTTGTAGAGGTCTTGCAAACCATAGTCATACATGATTTTCACCAAAACACAGAATGCTTGTTCCTCTGGCATCTGCAGGAAAACATGCATATAAAATATTTTAAGTAAGTGGCATTTGGCAGAATCTCAATAATCTCAAAAAAGTATCTTCACGTTATGAGCCCTCTGCACACAGGGTTGAAGGCCTGTAGTGAATGGAGTTCATCAGAGAGAGCGTTCTGCAGTGACATAGGTTAAATTTCTGTTCAAAGTCTCTAGATTCTTGACCCGAGATGAATTTTAATCAAGTTGTTATCCATTCGTTGAGATACCTTGAAAAAAAAGCTAATAGTCACATGATTCAAAAATCTAAACAATATCTTGTCACACATTAGGCCTTCATACCTCCTCTACTCATCTCCTTTGCATAACCTCTTATTTTTAATAATTCTCCAATATACTGCCAATGTTTATGTAGATAAAATAATTACAAGCGCAAGGACCCTAGTTCAATCCCCGGTACCAAAAAAAAAATTACATTTTTCATTTTATTTTGCCCCTTTCCTACACAAAAGATAAAATTCTAAAAATGCTGCTACTCAATTTATTTTTTCCCTCTCACGATCTAAGTTGGAAATATTTCTCTCTCATTATATCAATATATGAAAACAGCTAAATAGTATTCCACTATATGGATGGATATACCAGAATTCATTGAATCAGTTTCCTCATAAGGGGTACTTGAGATATTCTAATATTTTATCATCAATGCTGTAATAAACATTATTGTATGTACATCATTTTTCACACATGCAGGAATGGGGTAGGGTACATCCCCAAAAGAGTGATTGGTGGGTCAAAGACTAGAATGCATTTTTAATTTTGATAGATAGTGTGATACAATCATCCCTGACTCTTCCTAATGTTGCTATTTGTATTTCTGCAAAAAAAATTTTTAGGAAAGAATCTTATGAGTTTCTATCATTTAAATGACCAATTAAATATATTAATCCTCTCAGATACTTTTTCTAAACAGAGAGTGAAATCTGAACTCAAGGTACAAGTAGCCAATGATAAATGTAAATGTACTGTATACCTAAAATGTTCCAATAAAAGAATTTAAGAAAAAAATCTGAACTCAAAAGAACTGCTCCAAATTACAGTAACAATAAGCTGAAAGAATATTGGAACACATTCAAAATTCTAGAAATTACATGAAGCAGATAGAAAAATCTATTATACTTACTCAGTGTCCTAGGATTAACTATTATATAAACATCTATTTAAAACGTCACCCTGGAAAATCTGAATTTGGCTGATTATGTTCTTTTATACTTTGTTAAATTAACTTCATGCCTGAAAAACTGAACCAAGCAGAGTTCCATTTACCAACTTAGAAATGTAATTAAGGTTCCAATAAAATCAGCCACTTCCACTTTCTATTTAGAAAGCACACAATGCATAGTTAAAGAAAATCTACAATTAAATGAGTATACATTACTGTTGTCATTTTGCTTATTCCTTTTTTATCTATGACTAGAAGTCTTTTCAAAACTTTGACCTCTGAACATGGCTGTTCAAGTTAGTAAGCATTCTTCAGCTTCTATTAATTATTTAAAATACAAGTTCACAATTCTTTCCTCCTTCAGCAATTCTGTCATTTGTGTCTCAAGTGACACTGACTTGCACCCAGACAGCCTATAATACTTTTCTAACCATTAAATTCTCAGCCTCTTCATCTTCCTCTTAGATCTCCATTGAAATGGCTCTATTCAAAGCTACATGTAAGATAGTTATAGCCAACCACGGAGAAAATAATTCACTACAAGCCTTTCTCTTTCTGAGTAAGTAAAAATCAGATGAATACTTTAACATTTGGTATCTTATAAATCTTTATTTCCTTGAATGGCAAAAAACCACCGAAGCAAATAAAAGGATTAAATTCTTTTGGTCTCCCCAATGTACACTGCCTGAAGAGATGAGGTGCAAGCTCTGAACACTGGAGATACAACAGTAAGAGCACAGTGCCTTCCCGAAGGACGAGTCAACAGGCAGCTCTGCTTGATGAGAACCCAGAAGTACGGAAATAGGGTAGGCTGGGTGTAGGACAATAGCACCACGGCTAGAATCCAAGTAAAGGAATGGCTTGGCATGAACCAGACCAGGATTAATTATTCAAAAGTCACAGAATGATGCAAAGTGGACACAATTTATTTTAATAGTACATGTTTGCAGTACATGATTACATTCAGCATGGACAGTTGGTACATGACATGAATGTACATGACACATTCTAATTCTTTTTATATCCGCCTCCCCTCCACTTCCTCACAGTCCCCTTCCCATTTCCAAGTATCTTTATCCATGTTTCCTATTATCTATCTTTTATTTTACCCTTCCATCTATTTATACTTTGGGTTTCTCTTATAGAGAAACCATGTGATATTTAAGCTTGTGTGTTTGATTTATTTCATTTAACATTACGATCTCAAGGCACATGTACTTTCCTCCAAATGACTCAAATTTATCCATCTTTCTGGAAAAGTAATACTGCATTGTGTGTAAATACCACATTTTCTTTATCCATTCATCTGTTGATGGGCATAAAGGCCACTTCCAAGACTGCTGCTATAAACATGAGTACAGATGTATCAGTGTAATAAGATGCCTCTAACTCTTTCAGGAAGATGCCTAGAATAGGAATAGCTGGGTTGAATAAAATTTCTAGTCTTACTTTTTTTGAGAATTTCCATAGTGGTTGTACTAATTTACATTTTCACCAACAATGTAGAAGGATGCCTTTCCCCAGCAACCTCATCAACAGTTGATATTATTTGATTTCTTGACACCATCTTTCTTTTCGGGTATAAGATGGAATCTCAGTGTTATTTTAATTTGCATTTAATGGCCAGAGATGCTGAATATTTTCTCATGTAGTATATTTAATGGCCATTTGAACTTCCCTTAAGAAGTGTCTATTCATTTCAACTGCCCATTTTCTGACTGGATATTTTATTATTTAGGGACCTAATTTTTTTTTTTGAGTAGCTGGAAAAAAAATTCCCATTCTCTAGGGTGTCTCTTCACGTTGTTTCCTTTGCTGTGAAGATTTTTTTTGGTACCAGAGATCAAACTCAGGGCCTTGCACTTGTTGAAGCAGGTGTGGTGCCAATGAGTTAAATCCCCAGCCCGCAAAAGCTTTTTAAATTAATATAATCTCATTTATTGATTCTTGATGCTATTTCTTGTGCAACTGAGGTTCTGTTCAAAAGTCCTTTCCTGTGCCTATCTCTTCAAGAGTTTCACCTTTATCATCCAATAGATTGTTTTTGTTTTAATATTTAGAACTTTGATCCATTTAAATTTTAGTTTTATACAGGATGGGAGATATGGGTCTAGATTTGAATTTTTGCATGTATATAGCAGTTTCCCAGCACCTTTTATTAAAGCGGCCATCTTTCCTCCAGGGCATGTTTTTGGCCGCTTTGTCAAAGGTCAGATGACTTAATGTGCCTGGAGTTATTTCCACATCTTCTGTTCTCCTCCACTAATCCACAGGCCTGTTTCTGCGCCAGTACAGTACCATGCTATTTTTATCACTGTGGTTTTGTAATGTAACTTGAAATCTGGGATTGTGATGTCTCCTGTTTTGCTCTTATTGTCCATAATTGCTTTTCCTATTCTGGGTCTCTTCTGGTTCCATATGAATTTTAGGATTGTGTTTTGTAGTTCTGTGAAGAATGGTATTGGTTTTTGGGGGGTTTTTTTCTCTTTTTTTTTTTTTGGTACCGGAGATCGAACTCAGGACCTTGTCCTTGCAAGGCAGGTCCGGTGCCACTGAGCTAAATCCCTGGCCCAGTATTGGTATTTTGAGTGGGATTACATTTATAAAAATATATATATATATGTGTGTGTGTGTGTGTGTGTGTGTGTGTGTGTGTGTGTATCAGTTTAGGAAGTACAGCCAACAACAAAGGCTTTATATTTTCTAATGTCCTCTTTGGCCTACTTTTTTAGAGTACTGTAGTTTTTGTTGTAGAGGTCTTCAATTTTCTTGGTCAGAGTAATTCCTAGGTAATTTTTCTTGATTATATTGTGAATGGTATTGCTTTCCCAATTTCTCAGTGAGTTCATTGTTGGTTTACAGGGCCACTATAATTTTGTGTGTTGATTTTGTATCCTGCTACCTTGTTGAATTTATTAGTTCTAAGAGTCCTTTTGTGGAATTTTTGGGGTCTTGTATATAAAAGATCATGTTATCTGCAAACAAAGATAAGTCTGGCTTCTTCCTTGCCTATATATATATATCCCTTTTATTTCTTTCTCTTGCCTGACTGTTGTAGCTAAAGATTTAAATTCCATAGTGAACTGGAATGGTGACACTGGACATCCTGACATGAGAGGAAAGTTTTTCACTTTTTCCCCTGTTAATGTGATGCTGGCAATAGGCTTGTCCTAAATCTTTTTTATCAGATTTTATGCTTTTTTTTTTAAGATATAAAGCTTAAATACTGAATCTCTCCCTTATAACCCTGTGCTCCTCACACACAGAAAATAACATTCAATTAATGTTCTTCAAAAATGAAACCATTTAAAGGTTTAAACTTTAACCAAAATGACAAATCTGTGAATATTAACTAACAATTCCAGCTTTTAATCCTTATTTTCTGAAATATAAGTATATTTGGAGGACAGTGGTAGTCTTGGGAGTTAGCATTCTTTATGTCTAACCTCAGCAATATAGTCAAGTTTTAAATTTTCATCTAATGTGTCAAATGAAAATAGAACGTTAAACCTACAAAATACCAGTCCAGGTAAGATGGAATCGATACCATCTGTGAAGACTATGATCAGATTCAATAGGGCCAGGGATTTGGCTCAGTGGTGCTGCTGCCTGCCTTACAAGCGCAAGGTCCCAAGTTCAATCCCTGGTACCAAAGGGGAAAACAAAAAAAGATTCAATAAGGTGTTACAGAATCTGAGATATTATCTTATTATAAAACAGAATAAAATGAACTCCTATGAAGACAAAAAAAGAATGCTAACAAAATGAGTGAAATATGTATAGTCCTTTGGAAAGCAGAAATGCAACA